ACAATACATTTACTTCTTGTCTGACAGATAGCAGGCTGGCCGCAAGAGAAACAATTCCAGCCAGTCTGTTACACACCTCGAGTCATGAGTTCTTATGGTTGCTTAATTGATTGGTACCTAGATCGGCATCTACACTAGTAGTTAAGAACTAGAACACCTTCGTATTTTCCCCAAAATTAAGAAGCACGGAAGGAAGCCATGCTCTTGGTGCTCCATGCTTTCAGCAGGAAGAAAGCAACCTGGAGTCTGGCAGTACTTTATATAGGACAAGCCAAGCAGGAAAGGCTCCTGTAAGATACTGAAGTGCTTGTTGAGTCACAGCATGCAGAGACTTGTATTACAACATCCATTTTATGCACTGTTGCTTGTGCTCAAGTTAACCAGAAGACTAAGCAAGAAAAAACAAGTGTCTTGCATTGATCTCCAGTCAAGAAGCTATGCTCAAAGAATATTGGTTTAACATGCCACATGTTCGGCATTCCAGCTTTCTAACGGCACCATCAAACCACAGTTTTTGTTCATCTTCTCAAAGTGATGAACCAGGACAAAGTGTTCAGAGAAGTAGAGTGCACACAGCATGAAAACCATTAGAAGAGGGGTCAACATACTTGTGGCTGGGTGTGAAGCTATATGAGAAATAGGATCATGGCACCAACATTGTTCAGCACATGCTGGCATTCCCCCATTTCTTAATAACATGAGCTTAAAGAGCCGTGACACCTGAAGCTCAGGCCTGTCACTGTTAAGAGCACAGTCATTAACACTTCAGCTATGGGAGTGTCAAAAGGGATCGTTATTTGCCAGAAAAACTATTAGACCACTGAGGTGAAGAATGCAGATGTTACCTGCCCAGTTTTAATAGGTTTAAGTAACTCAAGCACTCATTCTACAGTTATTAGCAAACTCTATTGATAGGAGCCTCAAACTTATAAGGGAACTTGACAAAATTCCATACATGTGTACCAAAAGAGATTAGGAAGATCCATGCAGCAAAGGGTTCATCTTGCAATTGATTTGCCCTTCCTGGGGATTACATAGAGGTTTGTGCTTAACAGCTATAGAAGTTCAGCTACTTCACTAGTATGACTAAAACTAGCCTTACCATTTAGTCATCCAAGAAGATGAGTCCATATTTAGCTTAACAGTCACTTTCTAGTTGCCCTCTAATTTAGTCTGACTCTTGGGGACTTGACAGGCCAGATTAGCACTGATCATCTGAACCAACTTCTTGTAGACCACAGGCTTACAATCCTACCAATACTCATTTGTTTAGACAAGGTCTTACTTTCAGGCATGTTGTAGAATTG